TCCTGAACTCCACCATCTCGTGATCACAAAACCTTTTTGAGATTTTGAGCAAAAGTCTGAAAACTCAATGGTTGTTGTCAAGTTGCTAATAGAAGTGGTAGAGAATATAGATCACAGAATGCTAGACTGCATATTAATCCATTGGTGATGGCACCAATATAACTAGATTTATGAGAAAATAATGTGTTCTGGTAACTCAGGCAGTATTTGTCAAATTCAGAAGCATAGGTGAATATACTTGCTGAAGTGTTACTGTCACAAAACTAAGAAATTAGGGTTAGGACTTCACCTCTGTCCTGGTTCTTCTGATATGTAAATTTATTTTACTGGAGGACTTCCTTGTTTCTTCTCCCACACTTGTTCTGTTCTGAAAAGTTGTGCCTCCTCTGAACCTTTCCCAGCCCATACTGAGTGATGAGCTTATGTACTGCAAAACGTGCCTTGTGCATGCAGAGTCATTCTTGAATTCTGTGTGCTTTTCATTCCTCTCTCCAGAAGGGCTTATTCTTTTCTTTTTGCTCTCCTGCTTCAAGCTTGACAGTATTTTGAAACTTCTTTTTTAAAATGAGGGATATTGTGATACTAGAATATAGTATAGTCTGAACATTCTCATTGGTCTGTAGTCAGTTTCAGATGATGGGAGCTGCTGGCAGTGTTGAAGTCAAATATTATTTGGGCCAGTTCAATCCTTGTGTTTTTCTAAATATTTCTGTTTCTTGTGTCCTAAAACCAGTAGGTAGAGCCCCATAGAATGTTCAAGGTGCTTAAGGAAATGAACCCTATAGATCTGGAGATGATTTGCCTACAGAAAAGTTTCTGTCACGCTTATTAATGGGTATAACAAGCGATAACAGTATCTTCACAGATTTTAAAATAATAGATAATACAGATACACAGATAATAAAATCTTCACAGATTTTCATAATAGTTCTGTCTTCTAAGAAGACATGTTTGGATATGCTAATTTGTAGTAACATTACAGTTTAGGTTTTACCCTGTTTTTCAATAATACAATTTTAGGGTGGATTTTTAATATGTTAAAAACATGAAGCTTCCTGAAACAAGTTGCATGGGTCACTTCTGGAGCTAGGGCACCAACTAGGAAAAAAGACTCTCTCTAGTCTCTGTGGACAAGACCTAGAGCTCCATCTCTAGTTGCACTGCTTTTCTGCTATGTTTCTTAAAGTTTTGGTACCTAAGCTAATGTATCCTACTGTTCCCTTTTATGGTGGCAATGTGAAACACTAGTAGGAACTGTAAATGAGTTGTAACGGTTGTTTTGAAGCACTTTTTTTCTGGGGTTTGGGGTTGGTTTTTTTGGATATCTGTGATCTTTGGAAAATGAAAATTCCCTTGGCAATAACATGAAATGACAGACAGGTGTATTGTCTCTATTTTTGCACCAGGAGGTGCTGGTTCTTTTTCATTCCCACAAAAAATGCACAAACTTTACCAAGAAAGATGATTATTAACGTGTTAGAAAAGGTGGTGGAAGTTCACAACTTAAGTCCCTTCCGATGCTGGGAACCTGAGCTGATGCAGCATCAGATAAACTTCCAGTCAGGCCACAGCATACTGCAGAGATCCTGTCTGGGGTGAAGTTCTCACAATCCCCTCCCCTCCAATTCTGTCAAATGATTTGTGGAAAAGATTGTCTAATGCAAAACTTGATAAATGATAGAATCTCAGGAGAAGTAGAGGTCTATGCATACAAAAGAATGTTTCATTGCAGTTGACAGCTTATGTTTTTTTAACTAGATATAAAGGAGAGGTTCACCAATTATGTGCTGCTACTGATTGTGTGTCTGAGAAATATGGAACAGTTCTCGTGGAATCCAGGTGAGTAAACTTGTAGGAAAATTGAGCACAAAATGACAAATTCCTATGCTATCAACTACTATACTTATTGCTTCTTTTCTCAGTCTCAAAGATAAGGGTAACCAGTACATGTAATTGAGGAACCTTAATTTGTCAGATATCTCACATAGCAATTTCTCTCCTTCTGACTTGTAAGAGTGACTCTATCCTTTCTCCTAGATGTATATACTATTATCCTACAAATGTGCATAATTATGTTTCAAGTAGTATCTCAAATGAGTTCTTCCTAGCCCTTCCCTTTCCGTGGAGTGCACTGAGGACAAAGGGTACCCTGGAGAAATTTATTTTGTCAGGCTAGTGAGATGGAAATTTAGTAGAAGATCATGTAAAAATTCCTATTTGTAACTTAATGTTTATTATACATAGGTTTTTAATACTGTATTGAATAAACATTGAATAAAATTTGGGTTTTATTTTATTAAAACTTTGTGCTCCGATCTGTGGGATGTAATTTGCTTGAATGTTACCAGTCTACCTACATTTCACCTCTAAACCAGCAGGTGCTCTGTCTGTTGCTCATACATACTGAACATTTCCTACCTAGTGTGTGCAGAGGTGGTCTTCCTAGTAGAGAGAAAGCTTTACGAAGTAAAGGCTTTAGAACCTGATCCGAATTGTGGTGAGACTGCATAGTACTGACGGGTTTCCAGAAGAGCAATGGAATAAGCCACAGTTTGCACACTACCTGCAGAGTGGTGATGGAGAGTCACAGATTCTTCAGACTTGAGGACTTTTCGCTGTTCAGCAAAAAATTACAATTTTTGGTTTGTATGCTGGCATCAAGTTTAATAACCTAAATTATTTCTTCCCAACCTTCAGATCATCTTTGGGTATTATTCCCAGATGTATGCATGGTGGTTGCTTCAGAAATTGCAGTGGATATTGTAAAACATGCCTTCATAACAAAATTCAATGACATCACAGCAGATGTAAGTATTCTGTTCAGATTGCTGAATTTATTTCACTGCAGAAAATGTAAAAATAGTAATTTTCACATATAGGGTGTCATTTGGGAACGCTCAGTAATTTCCTGATACAGTACACTTACTGAGGATCTTTATAATGTGGAACAAACACCTCTGCTTCTAAATTAGTAGTTCCAGATCCATAAATTATTGGAAGTGTTGTATAACAGTTCACATAACTGGCAGATCTTTTTGTGCCAAAAGCTTGCTTGTCCTACAGACTAGACAGAGCTTATACCTTTTCCTGTTGGGATGGGTTGTAGGTTAAAATTCAGACTTCAGGAAAAGCAGATATTGCAAGGCTGCTGTTCAGCATGTAGGTTAAAGGTGGAATCTGAAATCAGAGATCTATCTTTCCACTGTCCCTGGAGCACTGATAGGAAGTAGGTTATGTTAGTTTCCCACTCCTGAAATTTCTTAGCCCATATATATTCAGTCTTTCTTGTAAAGTAGTAGATGAGGTTACTTTTCATGTGTTGGGGGCAGTGTATCGCGTGGCTTCGTGCTACATTGACTGTTTGTCTTGCTTGTTTTATTAATTCAAATACACTTGATTAATTTGTGAAGAGATCAGTTGGCTTTTTCTCACTCTTAAAAGCACTTTCAGGAAATGAGATTAGAACTTGGAAGTGCTATCTTTTTTCAGCATTTCTAAAGTAACTACATTGTGCAGTGTAGAAACAAGTTTAATAGATATACTTAATAAGCTCCCTTATGCCAGAGGCATTTATGCATGCCCTACTTTCATACAGAGAGTATGGAAAAGAGCAATAATGAAGTCATGATAGCCAAAAATGTAGCATGCTTCAGTGTGCTGAAAGAGCTGAAGGTTTAGGGTTAGTGACAATTTTGGAAGGGTTATTTAACAGACTTTGGATTTTTTGTATGAAGATCTAAACATTTATGATTGCTTAGTCAGACTTTTTCAGAAGTTTTGAGCACCTGCAGTGTAAGTTGCACTCCCACTTCTCCTTAAAAGAGATGCTTTTCTGTCCTAATATGCAGACCTGTTTTAAAGAGAGAAAGAAAAGCTTCGTTCATTCTCATACAACTTGCTTTTTTCATGAGGTCACTTCCTTAGTATATAAGTAAGCTCTCTCATTTTTTAATTTGATCACAGTCCTGCCTTTGATGTAGCTTAAAACAAATTATGACTTACAGGAAGAAAATAAACACGATTTGTCTTTGTTTCTAGTTATCCTTAAATTTGGTAGATGTTTTATAAAGTCTCATTCAGTTCCTCAAACATAGCATGGTGTTGTTTGTTTGATTGTCGTACATATACACAAGTTACTTTACCTGAAGTACAGGCTTGTCTGTTGAACAGTGTAGTTAGACCTCAGGAAAAACTGACTTGGACTCCTTCAGCCTGTGCACAAGTGTTTATAATATCTTTGCAGAAACGTTTTAGTATCATCTCTGTTGCTTCTATAAAGTGTGATAACAAATTAATCACATGTCTGATGTACTGGATTTTTTCCAGGTCTACAGTGAATACAGAGCCAGTCTTGCATTTGACCTTGTTAGCAGTCGACAGAAAAATGTAAGCATGACAATAAAAATGTTTTCTTGTATTAACCAAAATAATTATTACAAGGGGCAATGTTGCTACAAATACTTAAAGAAATACATACAGAACTGTTACACTCATTTTTTAATTTTTTCTAATAAGAGAGAAATCACAAGGAAATATTCCTGTTATATTCTTATTTTTATCCAGTTGTTCAGGTCAATTCAGGCTTTATTTAATATATTGTTGAGAAATCCCTTCCAAATCCATTTATATTTGGGGGATGGTGGTTACAATTGTGACGTTTTTGAGGTATATAGGAAGTAAGCTTAACAAGATGACGTTGAGAGAATTTTAAATTACTTTTCACCTTTTTAACTGGATTGCATCAAAATATCGTCTTCATGAGGAATTTATATTTTTTTCTTCACAGATTTGGTGCACAGATGTACAGGGTTGTTTGTACATGCATGTTACTGTTGTGGCATGGGTTTTTACAGAACAGACAGGCTGATTGTGTTTTTCATCAGTAGTGCTTTCTGGAAGACTTTACATCACACCTTCCCTCTTAACTGTTAATGAGTCTCTTAACTGTTAGTGAGTGCTCTGGATGAGTGCTCTAACTATTAAATAAACTTATTATAATAATTTATGTTGAATAGCTAGGAATACAGTAGCTATACCACATAAAGTTGTTAAACACCTTCAATTACAAATAATTATTAATAATTTGTTAATTAACATAATTAGTTTTTCTGAGGATCCTCTGTGGAAAATGAGGTAGCATCATATTGGCACTACCGTTGGTATGATATTCAGAATTGCATGAAAGCTGTCATGTAAAGTGGTGTTTCGGGAGCTCAAATGTAAACATTTTTGGAACAATTTTAACACAATTATCCTGAGGCTAATTATAGATGTTTGTTGAATGATTTCAGATGGCTAGTGTGATGGATAATTGCTCTTTTGTCCCTCCTACATTTTTTTCTGTACAGTATTTGGGGATCAAAGTCAAATTAATACAAAAAGGTCTCTAAGGTAGTAATAATGTACAGATGAAATATCATAGGTCATTTGGATTCAGTGTCCTAATTGCTCTTGATTTAGAGATTGGTATTATACTGCAGTTGCTCTTGATCTAGAGCACTGAAGCTAATCTTACTGGTCATGCTAGTATTGCATTTTTGTCTGAGAGTAGAGTTGTCTCCATTTGAGTTTCAGAAAGTGAGTAGGTAAGCTTTATGCCAGTATAGTGTTTCTTAGCAGAGATTGCTTCTTATCTAGAGAACGTACCAAGCTAAAATAACCCCATTGCTTTGCATAGATAGTTTATTATTGTTCCTCTCTCTTTTCATAGGCATATACAGATTATAGTGATTCAGTTTCCAGAAGAATGGGTTTCATTCCACTTCCACTGGCTGTTTTGGTGAGTTGTATCAGTTTTCTGTCACTAAGGTGTCACTTTGAGAATACATACCTGTTAGATAGCTGGCTCATCTTGATGTTTTAAGGGTTAAACTATCACCCTAAGTAACTGAAATAATGCTGCGTTCAGTATAACCTATAGCACACATTAACTATGACCTAATGAATGTGTTACTCTTCATTAGCCTTTCATAGAAGATCATATATTTTTTCATTTTATAGAATTTATAAGCACTTGAATTGCAGTAGCACAATGAAACTACATCTATTTTTTGGCAATTATCCCGTTCATTCATTTTGAATAGTCAAAGCAGCTGGTTGCCAGAATGTTAGTAGTGGTGTACTGTTTTTTTTTATTTTTTTTCATAGGACTGCTTGTGATTGACCCTGTAATGTTATGCTTAGTGACTAAGTTTTCTTTTTCATGGGGCACTGAGCTTTTGAGCTGTTGCAGAATACATGACTCTGAAATAATTGACCCTTTTAGATGGACATGCTGCTATAAAATGAGCCACTACATGATCGGAATAGTGTCCACATGCTCTCTTCTGAACTAACTATTGCAGAATGCTTTCTGTAAACAGCTGGTCTGCCTTTCTCCCTACACACATGTAGAGGAGCAGGAGTTATCATAGTACTGGGGATGTGTCCTCACTTTGACAGCAGAGATGCTAATCCATCATTTTCCTGGAAGAATATCAATATGAGTTAATTTTTAAATGTAATGTTCTCCCACAGAGATATTGACAGTCTTTGCCTAGTTTTTTTTAATCCAGGATTTAAAAAGGAAAAAAAAAAAAAAACAAACAAACGCTCCCAAAGAGACCAAAACAAGTGTGATCATAATAATGATTTCTTTTATAATGTGGTACATCCAGTGAGAAATCAATTTAAATGCTTCTTTCAAGTTAATCTTGTTCTGATATGATATCCTGGATACTAACAGGCTTAAAAGAAACTAAATTGCTTTGCTAACTTGGAAACCTAACTGAAATAGTGAAGTAAAACTAAGATTTCAAGATCGTTTATAACTGAAACTTGGGATTCATATGCCTAGTCCACCAAGTAATTTTGTATTCAAATGTTAGCATAATGGGAAACACTTATTCTGTTTTACTGCATCAGCATTTCTTGATATTTTCCTCAAATATTGTTAACTCCGCTTCTAGCCCTTGACTTTTGAGGAGGGTTTTTTTACTGTTATTTTACTTGGAAGTCAATGGTGAAGGAAACATTGTCAGATGGTCGTTTTGGTAAAGTTGCAACTATGTGCTGATATAATACTTTTTCAAACCAAAATCTTGAATAGTTAGCGCTACCAAGGGGAACATTAGGATAAACTTTTGTTAGTGTAAACGTTTCTACTTTTAGCTTGATTTAACTAAACAAAAAATGTCTTTTAAAAATATTCCATTAATAAATTGTGTGCTGTATGTTTTAACTGTTTAACTTTTTGTCCTTAAAACAGCTCATCAGAGTCGTAACAAGCTCCATAAAAGTGCAAGGAGTCTTAGCTTATGTTTGTGTTGTGCTTTTCTACTGTGGGTAAGTAAATGCACACAATTGAAAAGTATTTACCATTATTTGTTCAGACATGTTAAAAAAAGCTTCTGATGATACTTCTAGGTATCAGTGTAAGCTGTAATTGAGAGTGCAGACTGATCCCTAAGTATTGTAACTGCATCTTCATAAGTAACTTCAGTAATGAAACTAACTAATGGGAAAATGATTGAAAGAATTTGACAGGCAAGCACCCTACCTTTGTATAAAAGGGGAGATTGAATTCTGAGGAATGAAACTGCTGGTGAAAATAATGGAAGGTTCAATATGCCAACAAAAATAATCAGTTTAAGTGCTCTGAGCAGATCCTGAATTCTTCTCTTTAGTAGCTATAGGCAAGGTTTCTTCATGTTAGGAAACTGCTATATGAAAAAAATACACAAGGCTCACATTCTGGGAAGTGTGGGGTCAGTAAGTAATCTTATATAAGGAAAATAACATCCCATGGCAATTGGTTTTCCAAAATTGATGATTTGCAAGTATCCTTTCACTGCCAAGTCAATTTATACTTGTGTTATCCTTAACTTTTCACCTGTCCGTACGTCCTTCTGGGATGCGTTTAGGGTTACTTTAGTTGTACTTCAAATCCAGTCTAGTTTGCCTGTCTGGAAGCACTTGCTGCAGAAGATGACAAGTTTCTAGGAAAGCTGCCTTCTGAACTGTGTCAGCGTTTGTCTCTAGGTAGTAATTGTTACTGGAGTCCTCCTGAAATTGAAGAATTGAAATAAAGAATTAAAAGATTCAAATTGTTGCAGCACAGAGAACCTGCTTACTGTACTGTAGGGATTACCACACATTTCTTATTAATAGGTAGGCTCATCTCTAATGTGACTTTGATCTACAAAAAGAGTAGAACTTGGTCTGATGTCTGGTCTACATCAGCGTAGAGGCACATCTCTTTAGTCTCAGATGACTAGGACTTTGAGATACTGCATGTAAACCAAATACTATTAGCCATGTTCCTCTGCACTATACTTGATTTCTTCCCCAGCATACCACATGCTATGCCCTAATGCCAGGTCTATACAACAGAAAGTACTAGCCCCTTGTCATCACATTCAAGCTATGGTATACCAAGCTCAGCGTCTTCATCCTGCTCAGTGGTTTTCCGTGTTCCAATTACATCTGCCATTCCACCATGCCACTGCTGCAGCCCAGTCCTGGATATTTTGCCCTCTCCCTGTCTGTGTCTTGGAGAACAGAGGGCAGGAAGAAGTAATGTGATTAACATGACGGACTAAGTGCTGCTCTTTGAAAGCATAGATCACAAGAGTAAATTTATTTTGGTTTATTTTGTCATTATTGAAAAGTGAGAATTGATTTTTACTTCTGCCGTGATCTCGGATTTGGAGCTAACTCACCTTTTGCATCTTTTGAGTAATTTGTGTTCTGAACATAAATTTCAGCTTTTCATCAGATCAGTATAGCACAGATATGTGGGAAACAATACGATAAAATCTGGAACAGTTACCTGGGCAAAGTATTGAGGCTAATGTGGAGGACATAGTTAAATATCAATACAAAAAAACTGTAATACTTTAAGTTATAACATTGTTAAAGAGTCTTGCACAGCATATGAAACCTGAGGGTTTTTTTTCTAGTATTTGGAACAACTGCAAACTTAAATTGTTGTTAGAAAGTTGAGCCTGGGGTGGACTTGCAGAAAAGAATAAAGCAGAGTTGCTAGAAACTCTTGCATAATTTTACATGAGAGGCTGGAACTGGTACAATAAAGTGTTGATTTACAGCCTTTTCAACTTCTGATCTCATTAAATCAGAGTCAAATTATGCTGTAAATACCTGCTGGCTTGGAACAAAAGCAAGTTACATAAAAAGTGTAGGGGAAAAAAAACCTCTAAAACTTATTAAAATGGAGGAGAGCTTCTCAACTCTCAGAAACAAAATCTGTCCTGGTAACCTAATAAAATTTTAGAGAATCATGGCTTTCAACTTGTATAAAATGATATCTTCTTTGTGGTTGCTTGGATACGAAAATGTCAGCTTCTTGTGAGTACCAAAAGTGGTCTGCTCTGCTCATTCTTCCAGTTCTCTAAATTTCTTCTACAAGTAAATATGTTGCATAAAATGCCCTGAAAAGTGCAGCGTACTGTGTTTATCTGTTTAACGAGTTCTGATAACATTAGTGCAGTGAGAGATGGTGACGCTATTGCTGTTAGTGATGTACACAATAAACAGAGGATGAATTTAGAGTCTGCATTTGGGTCAATTCTGTTGCATACATTGACTTGTGTAGAGAATATTCATGTTCATCCCCCAGAGAATAGATGACTATTTCCTTGTTCTGCAGTGAGTGAGCCGTCACCTGCTTCACCTCTGCGTTCATCTCTGGGGTGGACGTTGGTGTGTGGGTTGTGTAACACCCGTAACGGAACTTAGGCTTTTGTAAGGCTCACTTCAGTTGTAAATCTAAAAGCACTTGATGGTAGAGGAGAACCTTCCTGCTTTTCAAATGAGGAGACAGGGACTTCAATGACTTGCTGAAGTTTGTGCTGCAAATTAGCGATAAGAGAAAATGAATCTGCCATCAACTGGACTGGGCTATGATGGTAATGCAGTGCTGCCTCTTTGAATTTGTTGAGTTTTTCACAACACAGTGGTCCATAAAAGGATTTTTTTATGATTAGCCTGGAATTTTTGAAAGCTAGATACTTGCTTTCTTGTCATTCATAGCCTAGTAGTCATCCTTGACTATGCACACTTAAGGCTACAGTTTTAATAATAGTGCATTGAGTTTGGATTTGCACTGTTGAGGGACCTTTTTAGTTCTCTGTTTAAATATTTGATATATTAAATGACTGCCTAACTGTCCTTGTAGTCCTTTTGTTAAATTGTGATAAAAATATTTTTATCTAGATGGCTTCTGGAAATAAAAAATAAATTAGGCATTGAATCTGAAACAAATAGATAGGAAACAGAAAATTACCTTTTGATCTTGCTATTGAAGGGATTTAATTTGTTAGTTAATCCTTCCAAGGCAGCAGTAAGCTGTATACAATTATTTAAATATGAATAATTTCAGTATGAGTAATATGCAATTATTTGAATATGCTAATGAAAATATGTAAACAAATCCTTCTTTTTTTTTTTTTTCAGGTTAATATCTCTAAAAGTCCTTAACAGTATTGTATTGCTGGGGAAATCATGTCAATATGTAAAGGAAGCAAAAATGGAGGACAAATTATTCAATCCTGTCCTGACTGCCACCCCAGGGAAGCCAGCTGGCAAACAGCAAAGCATGTTTAAATCTACCCAAGGTAAGGCTAACTGCCTTGTTTTGTTTTCAGCTGTGATGAACATTGCTTTCAGACTAAATTTAATATTAAACCAGATGTCTGACATTGTTTGCTGCACAGTAACCCTGTTGCTGGACTTCAGTTGTACCATATCACAGCTTTGAAAACAGGTCTACAAATGTAACAGAATTTATTGCTTTTCGTTCATGCATCTTCTGTTGATTATCCTCATCTCTCTGATAAGATCTCACCCTGATATGTGGAGGTGGTAGAAACGTCAGAGCTTTTGTTTGAAAAATCATAGTCATAGAATGGTTTGGTTTGGAAGGGACCTTTAAAGGTCATTAGTCCAACCCCATCTGCCGTGTCACTACACTAATAAATACTATATTCACATATCTCTGGCAGTGCAGAAGTTTAATAAGAAAGCAATCTATGCATTTCTTCTGGAAGTAATATAAAACATGTCACACAAATAGGTATGATTACTTGTAGTTGCCAGGAACACATTAATGAAAAGGTTTAAGAAATCCAGAGTGGAATTTCCCATGGTTTCTGATCACTTCATTCAAGTCTGCAGCCTGGCTTTCTTATAGGTTCTCAACAGCAGCAGTAAATATATCATTGGAATGGGGCATTATTATATTCTCGTGACATGTTACAGAGGGAAACAGGAACTTCCATTGTTCCAGCCAACTGAATTGGGTTGTGTATCTTCCTCTTGTGAAGGGCTCAGTGAGAGCCCTTGAGCACTTCACAGTGAGGCTTTTATTGTGTTCACTCCATTGCTTGCCAGAGGCTTGAACAGCTTGCAATGTCAGGTGCTTGTTAGTCGTCGTGGTGTCTCGCCAGCAGTAGCGCAGTTAAGGATCTGTCAGTGTTTGAGACACAAATCTCTGGGTCCTCACCCGTGTCAGATCGCATCAGGCAGAAACTTGGTGCACAAGTTTAAGTAGCTTAAATTCCTGGAGTTGCATTAGTTTCACCAAGAAAGAATGTAATATGAATTGGTCTTAGTGTCTTTTCATTTCATTAGACAGCTATCGTAAGGACAATATTTTAATTAAAAATACGAATGCTACACTTGTTAGCCGTACTTACTTAGATTGACCCTTAAACTTACTCACAGTAAATAAATCCTGAAGACTATTTTTAGCTGAAGCAGCAGCAGTTTTACCAGGTCAGTCAGCAGAGATGCTCATCTCCTCAAATAGAAGGATTCTGAGTGAGAAGCAGCAATCAAAAAGCACCTGCTGATTTTATTTAGAATATTCTTAACTTGAGTAAGCTCAACTTATAACAGTTGTTCAGGTTTTTTTACACCTTTTAACAGCTCTTTATTTACTAGAAACCTCAGTTATGTAAAAGAATGATTTTACCTTCCCCAGCTTCTGTGTGTCTGTATTATTACTGCTGGGCTCTGTAATATTGGTTAATCCTTGGGCCTCACTTATTGGTTTTTTTAATACACTCTCTTAACTCATTTCTTACTAGAATGAGGGTGAGGGAATTAATCTAGTCTAGTTTTTATCAGTTTATAATGTATGTCAATTTATTTTCATAAGTTTCCACCTCATCCACAGAAACAATTATAAAGTTATATCCTTCAAAATTTTAACTTGGTTTTAAAGGATGGAAGTTCTAATTACTGGTAAACATTCATAGGCTGAGTGGCTTTCTCTGAAAGCTGGTAGGTTAGAAACTAACTTTTGTAATGAAGCTCTACAATTAGCATTACTTGTCTCCTTTCTTGGAGCAAGTTTAGTACCTTTGACTTGCTTAAGACTGTAGAGAGTAATCTGTGTACCTTCCAGCAGTAGATGGTATGTCCTCTGAAGAGGTGCTATAGAGAAGGAAGTTTTTGTAGCCACTTGGATAGATAGTGCTGCCATTCTGACAAATAACGGTCCCTTGGGCTGGTCTGCAGTATTCTCCACGTTAGCCAGATTTTTTCAGATTGCTTTAGAAATAATAACTCAGTCTTTATTAGGACATTGTAAATAAGAAATTTATTTCCTTGTCATTTGCTTGTGCACGGAAACAATACGTGGATATTACATGTATACAAATATAAATTTCTTGAGTTAATGGAGCCGGTGTTCAATTCCACTGCAGTAAAAGGCAGGAATAACAACAGACATCTTGAACAGAGCTGCTTTAGGACCCAGTGCTATTCAAGTGTGTAGCAGTGTGTGAGTCATTTAGTAGCTATCCCCAGAGGAGCCAGGTTTAGTGTACGGATGTAGAAGATTAGGCACAGAGATTCCTTTTCTTCTTTGCATGAAGCTCACAAATATTTTCTACTGCAATGACTGTCAAAAATCTTTTTGCCCAAGCCAACAAAAAGAGGTAAACCAGAAGAAAGCAATGTATGTCCTAACATCTGCTACTTATGCTCTGGTGAAATTCTGTGGACTTAGTTTTCTGTCCTCCTACCAATTAGAAAAGGAAATCTCTTATGGTAAAGCTAAGAAGAGTTAGTGGCTTGGTAGTGGCTTCCACAAGGCATTTTTCTGTTGCTCCTTTTCATGCAATGCAGCACACTTTTTCAGGACAGCTTTGGATGAACCTGTATGTTATAGGTGCATCAGTATGTCTCTGTTAAGTTCATTATTATTTTGTAATTGTCTTCTGTTCCAACAGGAAGTTCCACAGACGAAAATGGATCAACATCAGTTGCCAATCAGCCTGTGCATCAGAAGGAGAGTACACCATCTTTACTTGTAACAAGCAATTCTGATCAGTTTCTGACAACTCCTGATGGAGAAGAAAAAGATATAAGCCAAGACAGTTCAGAGTTGAAACACAGGTCTTCAAAGAAAGACTTGCTGGAGATAGACAGGTTTACTATTTGTGGAAACAGAATTGACTAAGTTGTTTGTTTGTTTTTTTTTTTAAATCAATGTGCTAAGGATACTGAGCTGTTGGGACAGCAGATGCTACCAGAAATGGACAGTTGCCAAAAAAGGCACATAAATATTTATTTAAAAACTTAAATTATTAATGGCAAAAAAATATTAATTTCTTTCTACAAGTAACTTGGCTTGGTATCTGGTCAGGTCAGGTAAGTGATCTGTAACTTGCCTGTTGGAAATCGGGGTGCATCGTGAGTCTCTAGCCTGGTGGCAGAGCTGCAGTGTCACTCTTCTGCCAAATAGACTGGGAAAAAGCATAGTCCTGTTCTGCGTTGTGACACCATGCCTCCAGAACGTGCTGCCTTTCATGAAGGATATTCCTGGAGATGTGTGACAGCTTTTGAGCGGAAGCTTGCCTTTCCAGTTACCTTGTTTTATTAAACATCTGCAAGCAGAATTCAAAACTTGTGCTTATATCAACACATGCATAAAGCATTGGTCAATAAAACAGTAAGTCAAGATAGTTTTTCTTGTCAAGAAAAATCTTTCCAAGATGTATCTTGAAAATCTTGTAATCGGAATAAAATTTTGCCTTTAAATGAAAGACTTACTGCATACTCTTTTATCTAAATACTAAACACCAAGGAAGGGTAACAGTAATGAAGTTTCTGCTTAACTGGGCAAATATGAAGCATACTCGTTTCTTGTGTTGTGTATCCTGCAAGGCAAATTATTTATCAAATTATTTTTAAAAGCTGAGGATTTTTTGTTGCCGTAGGAAAAAATTATAAAGGAGCACTTCTATATGTTGAGGAAAGGCAGTGGTAATTGCAGCAAGCAAGTGTTGTGTGGAACTGTGTGTATGGCATTAGTGCAGCAGGAAAGAATATTACACTGCATTCTGGGTTTAACTCTGATAAGAATGACATCTCTGTACTAACTTGCCTGAGAACCTGCCTATAGAAGCTCATATTGGCAATCAAATCAGAATTACCTGATTGGTTTTAGCCAAACTCAAGTAGGTAGACTACATCTTTAAAGAACATTTCTTTAAGTATTACAGTGCGTCTTCATTTCTAGTGTGAGATGCAGTTATAGAATTGATGAAAGATGATTTGGAATCCTCAGACCAAAAATGGAATAAATTTGAGCTCAAAACTTGGGCTGGAGACTTGTACCAGAAAAGACCTTTTAGTCAATGGTAAATTCTTCATACACTGTTAAATGACAGCATTAACTTCAGATGCCTTTCAGATATTTAAGTAGGCACCAGTTTCATTTTCCAAGGGAAAACATCATAAAAATACTTCAGTGCTGAACAAATGAAGACAAAGTTTGCTCTTTGCTAATTCCATAATTTGTCAGAGTGAGAAAGCCAAGGTTTATTTGCTTTATGAGCATGTGAAAATTTAATGTATATGATAATCCCTGAAACTTGCAGTACTACAGTAATTTAGGAAATGGAGGCACCTGGCCAGAGTTAGGATGGGTCTGAGCAGAACTGGTGATGAGGGAACTGTGCCATACATGTTAGCTCTGGATGCACTGGTGGCAACTTCTTGCTGCAGTCTTTCAGCCTTTCCTCTCCCATCAAGAGTAGCTGGAGTAGCAGCCAAAATCTGTGGTGAATGTTCAGGGTTGAGAGTAAAAAGAAGAGGACTTGTGCTGGGGAAAAAAATTAAATTCTTTAATCCTTGATGTATTTTATACTAATTGAAGATGTTCACGCATTGAAATTCAGATTATCTGTCAACTTGGTGTATCTTATTTTTGAATTATTTAGCAGTTGCTAAAGAAAGCTTGGAATTGCTTTCATTTTTTTTTCTGTTGAATGACATTCTGTATCAATTTTATAAGCGCATCTTGTGTGAAACTCAATAAAATTCAATTTTGTAATATTTGTTTAAAAAATGAGAAGTACAGCGTCGACATTTCTTTCTCAGTATTCAGAGTTGGTGAACTTGCAATGTATTTACTGTATTAAATTCCAGTTTGCATAAAGTAATATTCTTTCCATTGTGGGACACGAATGTGTATAAAAACTGGGTTATCAATGGCTTTATTTCTGATTTATTTCTGTAGCAGTTTTATTGCCACTTGTAGGAAGAAAGTATTGATGCCAACCTACTATTCATTTGTTTTTTAAAGGCAAAACCCATGTAAATGAAAAAATATGTCTTAAGGGAGCTGTAATTTCTGTAGTTTGCTACAGCTGGACTACTTACACCTACACAGCAAAGCCAGATGTAATTGCAGTATAAGCTTAGGCAAATCCTTCCCTGAGCATGTGACAGTAACAGTGAATGGATACTGGTTAACTCCACCTAAGTCCAAGTCCTGGCCCAGATCCTCCTCCTGAGGTTTTGTAGTCTTGGGAGGTTTTGTTGCTTTGTTTGTACGCTTGAGCTGTGGTTAACTAGATGTATAGCAGTCTAGCTGAGCTCGGGGACGTGGCTGCACCATCTCTGTCTGTTGTGTTGCCATCACTGTTGACTTACGGATGGCAGCAATTCAAGAGTGCGCTTGGGGCACTGGTTGTAGAGAGCGTGGCAAATCCAACACTTCCCATAAACTCCCTGAAAATCGGGAAAAGGCCCCACTGGGCACGAAATTCAGTTGTTTGCTCTTGCTCCAAGCTCTGCAATTGTTCTTGTGTTTTTTGTTTGTGATTTGTAGGGATTACTTGCATATCTAGCTGTGCATCCTTAAGGAAAGGTCACAGCTTCTTCTCTGACCCTGGGTAGCCCTGTCAGAACTCTAGAGGTGGCTGAGAGGGGGGGGAAAAAAAAAAAAAAAAAAAAAAAAAAAAAAAAAAAAAAAAAAACCAGCAACACCAAACTTCTCATCTGTAGATACAGTTCTTTGTTTCTTTTGGTTTTCTTGAAAAGCGGCTGTCTTAACAGTGAAGTAAGAGCATCGGAGGTTAAGCAGTGGATAAAGTGAATTCTTCATAAATCCCTCCAAAAATCGAGGCTGTTCTGATGCAAGCAGTGATATTTCAACTAAAGTCACAGTTGCCAAATTAATTCCAAAAGCACACACTAAATACTGTATTACTCATTGTGGGACCATTAAAGAACAACTGTGTTTTCCATAGGATTATTTAATTAATCTTTTAAAGCCTTTCCGATGTTCATCAGCCAAGCAGAATTTCCCCTCAAGCAAAGTAGTTATACAGTCACAAGTATGCTGTTAACTTACTTGCCTCTTAATTTAGAGTGAGTCCGTTGAAACTTTCCAACTTCATTGTGGCTTTTTGTGGTGCAAAATTTTCTATATTCTAAGTATTCAGAAATCTAAGTCAGCATAGTTGTAGAGGTCACTGTTGTTAAAACCAGCATCTGCCCAGTTGTGGCTGCTATGCCAGCACAGCTTTTGGTCTGGAATTGTGAATCTAGTGGTGGTAAGCAAGGATGGACACAACATAATTATAGCACAGATATAATGGAACTGTGAAACTCCTGAGACATTGCAGCATTTTGTCTTACCAACCGAGCTGGCTCCTCCACGGTGAGTAAACTAGGCGTTGTAGCAGCTGTGGCAGTCCTGGGCAATCATGGCTTCAGCAATGCTCTTCACAATTATTAAACAAAGCTTGCTCTTAGAAATTCTTCAGAGTAATTGCTCTTTCCTAGAAATTTGGTCTATGTTAGCTTTGCTGTCTCCAAGGAAGCAAATGGTTTTGTGCAAGTGCGAAGCAGCTAGCCAAAGGGGCTGTGACAAACTCTGTGAAAGCAGAGCAACTGGACCAACTTTACCCTGTTTCTGTGTATAGTGGTATGAGATGTTTAGTCTATGAAGGCTGTCAAAAAACACCTGAGGTGTCATTTCTGTATGGCTTTTTTCTCTAGGAGAACAGCATCTTTTATCGGCTGTGTCAACTTAAGCCTGAGCCTAAACAGACTTTTTTATTAGGACTACAGTGTCTGTTACACTATGATTTAGAAAAAATGCTGCCAACAGATGAGTTGTAAGAGGGATCATGAATATAGAGCTAGTACCAAAGAAAACTCTAAAGTAAGCTCACAGCTCTAATAACAGAAAAATCCAAAATTATAATAAGTTTTTAAAATATTTCTCAATCTTGACCATAACACTATTACTTTTGCAATGAAAGAAACTCAGATTTTAAAGTGTGCCCTTATTTTAAATAATGCTGCCCAGCTGTACCTCTCAGCTACCGTCTGAGGCTGTGTAGATTGTCATTTCTCCCACTTGTTACTACTTAGTAGGGGCGTAATGCTGTCAAGCAGAGCCCAGGTTTTGCTCTTAATTGGAAGCAGTTCTGTCTTACAGCCCAACTGCAGAAAGCATCCAGCATCTGGGCAGAGGGGGAGAGAGAGAAGGTGACTCGTGGTGAGTACAAAGATGCAGGCTGCAGCAGCACTGCCTTGGGCTCTGATCTATTGAGGGTGACTGCTGCAGTTCTATTGTAAACTTTGCTAAATATGTCTTGTACTGAACACACAAACACATTGAATGTATTAGACGCTATATAGCATTTACTACTTTGACGTTTTGTATATCAGAAGTTCCTTACTAATCTTAGATTGGTGGTATAAGAGTGATGTTGCAAGCTAAACGTTTTCAATAGAGCAATTTCTGATGTTCAAGGAAGGTTTTTTTATCAGTTTTGCTCCTTCCCATGCTCAGTTTGTTGGACAAAAGTAGTAATAAGTTTCTCCGTTGATTGATTCTCTTGGAATACCAGGAGGAGTGTGTTCCAGTGATGCCTGGTCCTGACAGATGCTTGCATCTGCTGTGTGTGTTGAAAATAGTTTAACTATCTGGATAGCTCAGGAATCACTTGTGTGATGCTGACAGCTTAAAACAGCTAATTCAGAGATCTGGAATTGTGGAGTTGTGGGAAGTGATGCCTCTGATTTACTGAGAAGTGTGGCAATGAAACTTAAAATCCAGCACTGGACAGCACATTCTTAGGCTCAGCACATCCTAGTGACAGGACTGACTGTCAGCCCAAAATGTTCCTGCAGATTTGTTTTGAGCTTGACATTCTTGTTGAAGGCAGCAATATAGCCAGCAGCCAACCTCTTTCTATAGCCAAAGCAGCAAGAGCAGTGCTAAACTAGGGTATTCTGGAAACAATTCTTGAAGTTTCATGTATCTGACCTCGAAGCTATGAGACCTTGTTTTCAGGTCAGTTAACACTGTGCCCTTTGGACTCCTGCAAGACATAGCTGTAATGAAAATAAGTCGTGCATTTGCACTAGCTACTGATTTGAGACAATCTCCTTAATACGGTAGCAGAGATCCCACCTGTTAGGCTAATCTAAAAAACTGAGTTGTCTTTAGTCACTTAAAATTGCTTGGACATTGGAGAAGGGGAGAGAACTCTGCTCCGTCTCAAGTAATTGTTTATGATGCTTGTCCAGCCATTTAATGACCTCATGCTGTTTTGCCTTCATGTGGGCAGGAATAAATTCTCTAGCTAGTTTTTGTGCCCTCATTTTGTCAAAGTGAGGACCAGAACCCCAGCGCATATTTAACAAGAGGTTCTTTACGGTAGATGTTCTGCTAATGGTATTGATCATTTTGTGCATTGATTTATGTGCTTGGTACATCTTATATTCAGAACG